ATCTGAGGTTAGAGACTGTATGTTTGAAATCAGCCTGGGCAACATAGTGAGACCCCTGTCTTAAAACAAACAAACAAACAAAAACCCTCCAAAAACAAAAAAGCAAAACAAAGACAACAAACCCAGTTTAAATGTAACCCTGCCAGGCCAGGCGTGCTGGTGCACACCTACAAGCCCAGCACTCAGGGAGGCTGAGGCAGAGGATTGCAAGTTCCAGGCCTGCCTGGGCAATTTAATGGCATAGTGAGACCCGGATTCAAAACGAAAAATAAAAAGAGACCTGGAGATGGAGCTCAGTGGAAAGGCTGTGTTTAATCCCAGTTACCCGCTCCAAAAAGACTGACTGGTAGGTTTTTTCTTTTTCTGCCAATCGTGTAAATTTGAATATAAGCTGTGTATTAGAGGAAAATAGGAAATTACTGCTAAATATTTGCTGTAGCCATGGATTACCCAATGGCTTTGTGGTTGGGTAGAGATCCTTATCTGACATAACATCAGTGACTCTCCAAACGTGCTCAGTGAAAAAGAACAAAAACAAAGAAAAAATAGAAAAAGAAACAAAAACATGCTCAGTGAAAAAAAACAAACCCTGACCCATACTGGTGATTTTCTTAGTATAGAACATTCTAGAACACGTTAAATTAATTTCTGGTGACAGAAAACAGAGCCGTGGTTGCCTGGATCTGAGGTTAGGGACTGTCTATGGAAGGGCACGGGGGAACTTGTGTGTGTGTGTGTCTGTGTGTGCTCATGCGCGCGTGCTTAAACCCGGGAACAAACTGGGGAATGAGGACCACTAGCGCCTCTTAGATGCCTGTGTTCTGAGCCCCCAGCAGAAAGCTCCAGTGAAAGGCCTGGGTAGGTCTCAGGCCGCTGTTGGCCTGGCCTGGATCGCCAGCGCTGATCTTGCACAGGTGCCCTCCAATGGCAGGCGTGAATCTAATTTGCCTCTGGATCCCCTGGCCCGAACTCTGCCTGGGACACAGGGTGGGCAGGTGGGTGAGAAAGGAGATGGAAAATAACAGTCTCCTTCCTGGGTATGGAGAGCACTCTGCCATCATGAGCGGCAGAGAACGCAGGGGGAGTGGCTTCCCAAGGACAGCTGGGGCGGGGGAGGCCGGCCAACACACCCAGTGTGCCTGGAATTTCACAGACGTTGTACTGATTCACCCTCGTCCTCTGTAAGCGAGCCCCACGTGAGCCCTCTGCACTGGGACAGAGCATTCTCCACGCCACCTGACGCCCACACAGTGCTCCACCTCCTCTTTAGGGTCAGATCCACGCAGAAAGCTGAGGGAGCCTCGCTGCAAGTGTGGACTTTGTCCCTACATTTTACTCCGCCTATGCTGTGTGTACCTGGCTCCCTGGAAGGGGCTCTGGTCCTGCCTCTCTCTGGGGCAGATGGACCAGGACTTTTTCAGCTATAAGTGCCAGAAACCTAACCCAATCTCACTGGTTTATGGGGAAAAGGAAATTGTTACTTTATATAACAAAGCTCAGCCTGGTGTGGTGGTGCACGCCTGTAATTCCAGCACACTGGAGGCTGAGGCAGGAAGAGCTCTGAAAGTTCGAGGCCAGCCAGGGCTACATAGTGAGACCCTGACTCAAAACTAAAAGAACAAAGTCGAGCCAGATACTCCAATGATGTCTGGAATATATGTGTTTCTGTACTTTTCCTCTGCTGCTCTCTGCCTAGGGTTACTCTGGCCAGCTTTGTGTACATGGTGATGAGGCTATCGCTGCTGGTACTGTGCTGACATCCTTACAGCTTACTAACTCCAGTGGAAAGAGAGCTGATTGCCGGGAGTGGTGGTGCACGCTTGTAATCCCAGCACTCGGGAGGCTGAGGCAGACGGATCTTTGTGAGTTTGAGACCAGCCTGGGCTACAAAGTGAGCTCAAGGCCAGCCTGAACTGCACAGTGAGACCCTGCCTCAAAAAGAAAAGAAAAAAAAAAAAGAAAGAGACCTGATTTTTCAGAGCAGCTTCAAGATGAGCCTGCTTCTGACTGCACAGACCAGAACCAAGCACCCTTTTCTGAGCCACTGCAAAAGGGCTGCTTTGGCTGAGGAAGCTGGGCCATGTGGTCCCTACCCTGGGTCCCTTTCTTTTTTTTTTTTTTTTCCTGGGTCCCTTTCTAAACCTCCCAGGTTGCCTGGAGGAAGGGTTGGATCCCCGAAGGAAAATCCAGGTGTTGCCACGAGTAAAGAGGCAATGGTGGACTGGATATATAGCTCAGCGGCATAAGCACCTGCCTGGCAAGCTTGAGGTCATGAGTTCAATTCCCAGTACCAAAAAAACCAACAAAAAAAATGGCGCCCCACGACTCAGAAGAGGCAATGGTGAGATGCTAGGCATGGTGGTGAACATCTGCAACCCCAACACTCTGGGAGGCTAAGGCAGAAAGATCCCAAGTTCAAGGCCAATCTGGAGAACTCAGGCATTTAGCAGGACCCTGTCTCAAAATAAAAAATTTTAGCTGGACGTGGTGGCACATGCCTATGATCCCAGTACTTAGGAAGCTGAGACAGGAGGATCACTTTGAGTGTGAGGCCAACCTGGCTGCATAGCAAGATCCTGTCTCAAAAAACAAAGAAAAAATAAAAAATTTTAAAAGAGTTGAGAAAGCTGGGCATGGTGGTACATGCCTGTAATCCCAGCACTTGGGAGGCTGAAGCAGGAGGACTGCCACAAGTTCAAGGCCAGTCTGTGTTACACAGTAATTTTGGAGTTTTTTTGGTCTTTTTGAGACAGAGTTTCACTATGCAGTTCAGGCTGGTCTTGAGCTCACTTTGTAGCCCAGGCTAGCCTTGAGAATTCATAGTGATCCTCCTGCATCAGCCTCCCAAGTGCTGGGATTGCAGGCGTGTGCCACCATGCCTGACTGGGCTACATAGTAAATTTAAGACCAGCCTAAATTATACAGCAAGACCCTATCTCAAAAAATAAAATAAGCCAAGGGTGCAGCTCAGCGGCACAGTGCCTGCCTGGCAGTGTAAGGCCTTGAGTTTGATTCCTGGTACCAAAAAATAAAAATAAAATAGCTAAATTTAGTTCAACACATACACACACACGCACACACACACACACACACACACACACATGCAAGCAAAAACAGGTGAGGCCTGGCTGGCAGCAGCAGGAGAGGCAAAGGACCTTGCAACACTAGCAGCGAGGCATCAGCCTACTTTCCAGCGAAGCTGCCTGGATGGCGGGGACTTTGCCACCTACCAGGGAACTGACCCTCTCCCTGTGCTCGGGGACGCCTGCTCTCCAGACCTTCCGCCTGCCGGCCTTCTCTGTGCTGGGCAGCAGCCCTCCCTACTCTGCAGGCCACTGGTCTCTGCAGGCCCCAGCGTCTGCCCAGCGTCCTCACCCCTGGGCTCGCTGCCTCTGGGTGTGGTTCTCAGGTCCTCTCTGTGGGTGTGAGGCCCTCCAGGGTTGAAGGTAGTGCGTGCCTCAGTTTGCTCATCTGTCAGATGGGGTGGCGTTGGGAAGATTAAGTGAACATAGTATATTTGTAGTGTTTAGAACAGTAGCAGGTGGTCAGTAAACACTAGCTGTTACTTCTGTCGCTTTGGCTGGAGACTGTGCATCACAGACCCTGCCCCTGCCCCGGCCCCGGCCCGGCCCCAGGCCCGGGCCAGTCACAGTTCCTCAGGGATAATTCAACCCTGAAGTTTCCACAACTGAATAACTTTATAACACTTCCACACACCTTGTCTCAGGCGCGCCGCATAACTGTGAGGTGGGTAAGGCAAATCTTCCTTGTCCCTAGTTCGTGGATGAGGAAACTGAGGATCAGAGAGGGTAGGCGGGTGGCCCAGATCACACAGCCAGGTGGTGGCAGACAGAGGTGTTCCTCGAGCTTCTTCACACAGCGGGGCCTCTGCTCCAGCGGTCTCTGCGCCTCCCAGGCCCTCATCTAGCCAGCCACGGCCTCTGCCTCCCCGGCTCGGGTCCAGCCCAGGGCTCTGGAGTGACAGCGGTGATAGGAGATAACGTTTAGGAAGCACCTGCTTCTCTGCACATGAGCGGTCCCGCTCCCCTAGGTAACCATCCCCACGGCGCAGCCGGGAGGCAGAGGCTGGGACAGGCCAGGTAACCCGGCCAAGGTCCCTGCGAGCAGTGACAGCCAGGCGTCCGGCCCGCAGCAGCCTGACTCTGCGCCGGCCTTTCTCGCCCTCCTCGCTCCGCAGCCGCTGGGAACCCAGGCGGGGACGACCCCGCCTCCTCTGGAGCCGCGGGCGCGGCCGTGAGCCGTCGGGGGCGCCACCCCTCCCCGACCAGGCGGCCCGAGGGGCAGGGCGGCC